CACTGATGAGCTGGGATACAGCAAAACAGTGTCTGTGAATGAATATATATATATATATATATATATATACACACACACACACGGTGGAGTAATGGATAGCGGCTTGGATCGAGGAATCGCAGAGCCGAGTTCGAATTCCAGTCGATTCCATTACATTCACTTACGTGCTAATACCCTTGGGAAAGGTATGAATCCTCTAGCTATGGGTAAAATAGCAGGACAGACTGGGTTCTATAGCCTTGGATGGCAACTGGTCTAGGAGAAGGACAACTCTGAATTCAAAACCTGCGGAGGGTAATTTGGGAACTTTGTGGCATTCAGTGCACCAGGTCTCTGTATTCGTCCCTCCAAAAAGTGTGGATGGTCCTGCACAAGGCCTTCACCACGATAATCAAATCTCATATGCCGGTGTCAGGCTATCAGTTTCCTGGAAACTGATCTGCTTGACCCTCATACGTCGAATCTCGACGAGAGAGTCAATTATATATACACACACACACACACACAAATATACTAATATATCCCATAAATATAATTTAATTACAATTTATAGATATTTTCAATACACATATACACACAAATAAAATTAACATATCTAGATATACAAATAAGAATATAATTACACACTTACATACAAATATAAGATGTTACAATTTATATTTACATAGTCACATGTATACAAATACAATCATATATACATATAATCTTCATCAAGCAATCTAAAAGTTCAACCTTGCTCAACATATACATATATAGATATATTAATCTATTTATGGCCTAGTTTTATATTTCATGATTTTAGAGTTTTAAAAACATTAGTATCATTTCTGCTTCCTCCACCAAACAGAAATCCAATATATTTGGCTGAGAACTGATATTACATGGCAATATAGCAGTGAAGTGCGAATGACAGTGTTGTCTAAAACAAGAGTATTTTTAGAATTTTAATAGTTGGGCTTGATAAAAAAAAAAAATAAAAAATAATAAAAATAAGTCAAAAATTTTTCTTTTTTTAAATTACATGAGGAAAGTATATGAGAAAAAGCCAGAAAAATATAAGCATAAGAAATTTTTTCTTTTTAAAAATACATAGCAGGAGGAGGCAGTTGGTAAGAGAGAAAAGTAATGAAAAGTAACTCAAGGTTGTTGGGAGAGGGGGAGGCTTTTTTTTTTCCATTTTGAGATAAGAATAGTTGGCAAAATTAAGGGATGAGCACAGCTTGCCTAGACTGGTTTGTTATCTCTTTCCGCTGCATCAATTTTTTTTTTTTTTTTTTTAATCATTTCATCCCAAGAAAGGCAACAAAGACACAAAGAGTTACCGAGTGTGAAAGAATATGATAAAAAGAAAACATTATTAAGGAGAGAGAACAATAAAAGAACAGGAATTTAGAAGACAGAAGATAATGATTGATCATCATCATAGCTGTGTTTTTTGGTGACTAATCTTGCACAAAAGGTGGGTCCTGCCTGACAAGGTATCTCAGTTTATCTCTCCACATACGCCCGTCATTCGCATAAGCTAGTTCTAGGCCCAACTTTTCCCCCGACATTTTTCCCCACAAAATTTTTGAAGATCGAAGTTGACTGGAAAGCAAGAGAGTTTCACAAGCAAGAAGTGCAAGAGAAGAAAGTTAACATAGAACTTATGACTATATCTAACCATTTCAACTGTAAAAATGAGATCTTGCTGCTAATCTAATACCAGACTTAAATTCATCATTAATGCTCATCAGAACAAGTATAATGAAAAAAGAAAAAACACAGGGAAGCTACATTACAGCAGTGGGAAAGTGACTGAAACCGAGCTGTCAAGTCAGGACCAATAATAGTGCAGATTCTTTTTTGTATTTTATCAAGAATCTCTAAATACATAGAAGCCTCAGACTAGAGGTAACTGCAATATTCTATGCATGAATGAATGACAGACTTATAAAGGCATAAGATAGATTCTGACATGAAAAATTGTCTAGCACGACACAATGAACTGACTCAGTTGACCTATCAATTGATTCAATATAAGCTTTCCACTTCATATCGGCAGAAAACATTAGTCTGAGAAGGTACAATGAGTAACTCTTCTGGAGGTTAACATAAGCCTTGCTGATACAAAGCAAAAAAAAAAAAAAGTTTTCTCAGACAATTAAAAAGTAGTTTAATTTTGGAGGAGTTAAAATTAACGAGCCATTTCTTGCCTGTTATAAAGTTTGTATAATGCCCATAATTTTGGTTAATAATACTGTAAGGAAAGACTGGAACAAAAAGTTGCACAAAGAATAGGTTTAATCACAAGAGCTTTCATTTTGTTCCAGTGTTTCATGAAGAAAATTTACAGTTACAGTGAAAATAGGTCTTTTACACTTAAATATTCCAGGCCATTTTGAAAAACTGTTGATGACAAGTAATACGCACCATTCAAAGGTCCTGCGTAATCAACATGCAACCTACATCAAAGTTTATCAGTATCAGGCCAGGGATAATAATTTACAGGTGGTAATTTTGCTGTCAGAGCCCAACCTCTGTACGATTTAACCAATATCTTGAATATCTTGGTCCATTTTAGTCCAATATATGTAATTTCTCATAAGAGATTTAATTCTTGAAATTCCAGAATGCCCAACATGAAACTACTTTAAAATTATTTTTTGTAAAAAAAACAGGAATTACTACTCTTTCAGCATACATCAGTACTTCATCACAAATGGAAAAAGACTTATTATTTTCATTAACACCTGGTTTATTTTTCTTTCTTTCTTACTTTTACATCATTCATCATTTTTAAAATGTACTCATCCTTCTTGAGTTGTAATTTCATTTTGTCCAAAGTCACAAAACTCATTTTCAGAAATTACAGAAGCCATCATCTCCCACAAAAGGTTCCTTAAATTTTTGGATTAATCTGGACAAACCATCTGCATGTCCTAATTTCTTTGATGGTAAAGACTACATCTTAAAATCATAGTTCAGCAAAATAATTCCCAAATGTTGCAATCTGTTGGCAGTCAGAATACCTTTTTTAGAACCAAAAATAGTCAATAATAGACTGTGTTCTGTTTGCAGATTAAATTTCCTACAATGTATCATTTTGTGAATTTTTTTTTTCACTGCCAAAAATAATAGCTAATTCTTTTTTGATTTGACTATAATCTTTTTCAGTTGTTATTAGCATTCTAGATACATGGGCAACTGCTTTTATTTTACCATCCTTGAATTTATAACAAATGACTGCTCCAATGCCATAATCACTAGCATCTGATGCTACTATTAATTCTAAAAAATGAATTGAAACAATAATTCAGATGTTAACAGGGTCTTTATGTCTTCAAAATTCATTCATGGGACCAATTCCACACTGCACCTTCTTTCAATAATTTATGCAATGGTGCTCTTAATTTATGCATAAAGATTGTAATAGTTTGTGAGCCCTAGAAATGATTGTAAGCAAGCATATTATTAATAGCACTCAATCTCGATGGGTCTGGTCTATGTCCATTTGCATCAATTATTTGTCCCAAGCATATATTATATTACTCCCCCAAAAATTGGCATTTCTCTTCACAATTATTAATAACTCCCATATCATATTTATATGCTAAGTCTACTAAGAAGATCTTGATAATCTAGTACATGCAGAAATCTGACTCTCCAATATTCCTCTACTCAATATTTTACTTCATTTCACAGAGTTTTTCTTCCATACATGATCAGCCATTCTTGATTTCATTGTCTCACATTTCGAGTGTTTTGATTTCAAATTTAATGTTTGGAGTTAAATTAGTTATCGAGAACAGTAAATTCTTTAAACTTTGATCTGTCAATTGTGATTTTGTTTTTAATTGATATTTCTTAACTGAAAATGCTTATTCACATTTGCACAGTGGCAGTTAGGTTTCAACAATTTTGTTGAAATTACTAAATGTAACCATAAGTTTTATGCTAATACTTTCTTTTATTATGTAATATCAGTCCTCCTATATGGCAGAAAATGCTGGACGATCTCTTCACAAATGAAGAAGTGACTTAAAGCAACAGAAATGTGGTTCTACAGAAGGATGCTGACAATATCATGAACCAAACATGTGAGCAATGTCAAAGTTTTAGAGAAAATGGAAACAAAAAAGACACTTATACTTAACATCAGAAAGAGTTGAATTTTTTTAGACCACATAAGAAAAAAGGGCTTGTAAACTTTGATACTCACGGGACAGATTGAAGGCAAGAGGGACAGAGGGAAAAAATGCATAACCTACTCAGGGAGCTTGAGTAAATGGATGGCAGAACAGAGATCAGGAGAGATAGCAAAAAGATAATATTTATTAAGACCTACAAAGGACAGGAAATTGTTGAGAGACATGATCACCAACATCTTGAAGGGACATGGCACATAGGAAAAGATCATTTTTTGATTTTATTTTTTAAAAAATAAAAAGAGAGAGTATAAAACTAAATATTTCTAAACAGTGTCACCCATGAATGTCAATTATAAACATATTCCTAAAAATCACCAACATGTAATACACCACTTTTGATGCATAGGTGTTGTTCATCTGTTTTAAAACACCTTTTAATAAATATATATATAAAAATCAGCCTTTACATTTTTAAGTAATTTTTTTTCCTCATAATATACACAATTTTTCTACAGCAATTTCTCCCAGAGTCATGACTATTGCAGAGATTTACCCTTTGTTTATTAAATTCATTCCTTTTCATACTGACAAGTATAAAAAGGGTTCCCAAAACACATTTCTCTTTCCATTTGGCTCTTATAGAGAATAAAGCATTGTTTTGTGTAATAAAAAACAATATTGTTATTTTTGCCTTATGACCACCCTTTAAAAGAACACATTCTTACCAAAGATTTGAATTTTTTTTTTTTTTTTTTTTAAGTATATGAAAATACATACTCACAATAAATCAAAAGTTCAATCACAAATAATTAACAATAATAACTCATTCTTTGTACAAATCTTCAATAAAACTAAATATTTTACACTTACCATATTTCTTTAAAGCCATGTTCAGCTTCATGCTAATTTCCCGAGTCCCTGTTTCTGGATGAGAATTCTCATTATCAAAGTCATTTTTGTGATTAGACGTTGCATAGTTTTCCACAAACCGGTTTCCATTATGCTCAGTGGCAGGATTCGCAATGCCCATATGATAGTTTTTCCAAGAAGCAGCAACAGTGGAACTCCCTGCTGGAGGCAGTGCCGCTGAAACTTGGCCTACCTTTTCCATCCCATTTGATTTTGTGCCAAACAGGGATTTAGAGGATGAAGGTAAGTCATCTGCAACTAGGGCCGACGTCACATAGCTTTCATTCAAGACTCTAATTTCAGGACGGGAAGCCATCTCGGGGTTTGGTTTTTGAATTCCAAGTTGTTTAACCCCATCTTGCCATATTTCAGAGAAACTGCTTTCTGAATGTGTAACTTTCTTGGAATTACCAAATTCAATGTTTTTAGAGCCATAAACAAAGCCACAATTGTCTGTATCACAGTATTTACGATCTTTAAAGAAAAGAAAAATATGAAGGATTATTTAGGCAATATTTTTCAATTTTTTTTCTTAAAAAGATCACTTAAATCAAATAAAAACTTCCATAGTCAACCAACAGAGTTAGATGTTTATTATAGGAATTACTGAAGTTTTTAAAGTAATAAAAACAATACTATTTCCCTTCAAGACAATCACAATTCTCCACATATTCATTTCTTTATTATCTTTAAATTGTCATGCATTCCTGCAAAAAATAGCAGAGTAGTTTCTGGTTTGGAATTCAGAGTTTCCCTTCTCTTAGACTGGTTGCCACCCAAAGCTAGAGGGCCCAGTCTGCTTTGCTATTTAATCCATAGTTGGAGAGAGTAGAGATGGATTCATGCCGTTCTAAAGAGCATCAGTGAAAAGTAGAAGCAACATACTATACTGGAACATAGCTCACCAATCACACTTTCTGTGCTGATAACCTTTATGCTACTCACTCATCACGAACCTGTGGACGCATAGATAAGAAGAGAGATAACTCTTAGCATGTTACTGTAGGTTTATTGAACTCAAAAAGTTTTGCTTTTTTTTTTTCTTTATCTATTCTTTCCATATTCTTCAAAATTCCACATCCCTTCATAACATAGGCAATCATAACTCTCCACGGATTCAATTCCTGTATTATCTGTGAGCTACTGTGCATCCTTTGGAAAGATAGTAGAGTAATTTCCCATTGCTTTTGCTATGGTTGCCACCCAAGGCTAGAAAGCACAGTATAACCTGCTATTCAACCCATAGCTGGGGAGAGAGAGAGGACATGGATTCATGCCTTTCCTAAGGGCATGTATGCAAAAACTGTTGGAATTTGAACTTCGCTTGACAATTACACTTTCCATGCCAATATCTGTTACACTATTCACACATCCTTCTGCACATTACAATCTTCAAAACTTCAAACATTTAAGCTGAACTTAGTCTGGCATAGGACCACCATAGAAACACCACCCAGTCAGGATTGCAGTCACCACACTGGTAAATATGCTTTGTGAGACCAGCCTATTAATTATCACTTTATAAGAGAACTAGTCATAAAATGAGTCAGAGGTAAAGGTTTAAATTTTCTTTGCTTTCTACAACACAGGTTATTCTTTAAAAGGTCAGATAATCCTTTTCAAACTGTTGGAAATTTATAGGTTATTCAAGGGTTAATACTAAAGATTGATTGATTGATTTTTTTTTCTATGGCTTATCAAACCTTTGCAGGGTATTTAAAAAGAGAAAATATTTTTAGTGTGTAAGAATTTTTTTTTGTTGAGATAATAATGGTTTAGTGATACAAGTCTTACTAATTAACCCATAACTGGGGGGAAAAAAGAGATGGATTTATACCTTTCCCAAAGGTATTTATGCATAAGTGAATATAATGAACTGAACTGGGATTGGATTTTGACTTTTCGATTAACAATTCCAAACCATTACACCACCAGTACATCCAAGCATACAGCACATGGTATTCACGTGATCACTCATCTAAGTACTAACCAGGCTCAATATTGCGCAACTTTAGTGATCATACGGGAACTGGTGTTTCAATGAGACATGACTGTAAGCTCAATACTGAAGAGGAAAGCTATTTTGTGAAATGTCCTTTCATGTAAATCAGATAACGAGATTAATCAAAATAGGATGGAACCCTAATGTTTTCACATACTTGTTTTCACCTACAAAATACCTGTAGAAATTACAACAGTACACACTTAACATTGCTTTATGAAAATCATAAGTACATGACAATGGACTGTGTGTGTGTGTGTGTGTGTGTGTGTGTGTGGTGTTAAAGATATTAAGGAAGAAGCTGTGAAACTAAAAAGTAACTTACAAAGAGGACCCACTTTGCGAGTAGCGAAAAGGGAGCTTCCAGACTTCACAAATGTCCTATCAAGACACTGAAAAAAGACACAAATAGAGAAAATACAGAAGTCATTTTAATTTTATTTTGTTCTGCTTCTTTCTTAAGCAAATTTGTCTTTTTTAAATCCATAAAGATTCTTCCCTTATTTTCTATTCAGAATACCACTGAGTATTGTCCACCAGGTTCCCAAATAGCCAACAATTTAGTATTTTATTTAATTTTACTTTAAGATATAAGGAAGAATACATATCTATCCAATTTCAATATTCATAGAATAAATAAATACACTTGCTAATAAATTATTAATTGAATATGCATTAACAATATTGTCATCTTATACAAAATCTAAATTTCAACAATATATGAATAAATGAACTTTAAAAAAATATTTGTTTCGCATTTGTTTTCTTTAATTTCCAAAAGTAACCATGAAATATCTAAATTATAAAAACAGATTAAAAAAAAACATTTAAGCTACAACTGTTGATATATTTGATAGGAAGCAAATGAAACCTTTTAGAGAAGATTATTTAGTTTGAAAATACCAACATAAATTTTCTTGAATATTCTTATAAAAGAAAGCCTGGCCTATCAAAATGATAACATAAATATCACAAGTTATATTTTAATATCAGTAGATGAATTAGTAGCAATTTATAACAAATTACAAATGTCTTGAAAGAAAAATTACAAGATAGAAAAATGATTATAAAGCAATCTAGGTTGTCAAATGCTGTGACATAAAAAGATTAGTTACAACTTAGCAGCCAAAGGACAGTATTTTTTTAATATATTTGTATGCTTTTGTCAATAGTGTGGTAAATAAAAAAAAATATATAGCAATGAGCTAAGTGTCTACAATTTATGTCATTCCATGTTGTGCCTGGCCTCCCTATAGAATATCAATAGATTATCAATTCTGAACAAGAAAGGCATGCAGACGGAAGAAAAAAAACTAAGAGACACAACTGAAATTTATATGCGGTCATACATGCATAAATCATGCCAAGTTAAATATCTGGGAAACTACCCTCCTCTACCAAAAATGTCATTTTTATAAATTACATTTTAAAATATATTTTCATGCACTTATTTTAGTGACTTAAAATTTGATTTATTCAAAAATGTTGCTAAATAAATTCTGATTTACGTTTGATATGCAAATTGACAAATTGACAGGGGGGGAGAGAGAGAGAGAAAAGGGGGAAGAGAGAAAAAGGGGGGGAGAAGGGAAGAAAGAGGGAAAAAGAGAAGAGAAAAGAGGGGGGAAGAGAGAGAAGAGAAAAGGGGGGAAGAGGGGAAAGAGAGGGGAAGAGAGAGAAAAGAGGGGGAAGAGAGAGAAAGAGGGGGGAAGAGAAAAGAGGGGGAAGAGAGAGAAGAAAAGAGGGGGAAGAGAGAGAAGAGAGAAGAGGGGGGAAGAGAGAGAAGAGAGGGGGGAAGAGAGAGAAGAGAAAAGGGGGGAAGAGAGAGAAGAGAAAAGAGGGGGGAAGAGAGAGAAGAGAAAAGAGGGGGGAAGAGAGAGAAGAGGAGAGGGGGAAGAGAGAAGAAAAGAGGGAGAAGAGAGAGAGAGAAGAGGGGGAAGAGAGAGAGAGGGGAAGAGAGAGGAGAAGAGGGGAAAAGAGAGGAAAGAAGAGAGAGGAGAGAGGGGGAAGAGGGGAAGAAAGAGAGAGGGGGAATGAAAGAGAGAGAGGGGGAATGAAAGAGAGAGAGAGGGGAAATGAAAGAGAGAGAGGGGGGAAAGAGAAGAGAGAGAGAAGAGAGAGAGAGAGAGAGAGGGATTCTGTCCTATATTAGCAGTTACATTTACCATATACATTTCAAACACCAAAAGTAACAATTATGTGACAAAGTTATATCATCAAAATTATACACCAGCTTATACATTTTGCGATTAGATAATGGAATGTTTATTCATTAACTAATCAGTCTCTTGTGACAGTCTATTAAAATTCATGTCATTTCATGTCTTTGTTTCATGTAAAAATATAACAAAATAATATTAAAAACAATGCATCTAACAGAAATGGTAATCACTTCAGGCTTTCAATTCAATTTATATCTTCAAATGTTGATAAATTTTGAATATAGAAAAATGAAATATAAATTTGTATATTTAACCTTTTAAAATCTCTAACCTACACATTCTGTTTTTATTGCTGCAAGCATTTAAAATGTCTTAAGTCACAGGAAATAACAAAATGATAAGTATATATTTCAAGGTAGAAATAATTAATGCAAAAGACTGCGCACTTTTATTCAAGCCTGACAATATTTTTCTGTTACTTCATTGATCAACATAAGATGACAGTATTTTAATTCACATCATATATGCAATTCTGTAGGGGACATTCAGGCAAAAATGTTTATAAAATCTCCATGCATCTAACATGCAGTCTAATTATTCTTCAGTGATTATATATATATATATATATATATATATAAGCTTGTGCAACTTAAAAGGCATGGTCATACCATCTCTTAAAGTAAACTAATTTTAATCAGATTTCCAGTGAAGATGTTAAGCAGTTCAATTATTGAAAACACATTAAAAAGTTAGAACTTATTTAATAAAACACTCAAGAAAATATAAGAATGAAAAAAATCATGCATTTAAGGATTAATGAAAAGATAGAAAAGTCATAATGCGGACTAAAACAAGAAAGTAAAAAAAAAAAGCAATTATTATGCAGCTTTGAGATTTGATTTTCTAAGAGACAATAAGATTAAATAACAATACAATGTATTCTTACTTGTTTTGGCGCATTTACACTAGCACCATTAACATACTGGGTTTGGTGGTTATTATTCACTAACTGTCCTTGTGTGTAGTCAGTGATTATGGGTTCTGACATAGAAGTCAGAACTTTATGTCTAACATGTGGATGGTGAACATGATGGTAGGACTGGTCAGAGACATGAAGAACACAAAAGAAACAAAACATAAATGCACAGTAAAAAGACAGAAAAAAAACAAAAAAAAGATATAACATGGAGGCACCAATGGAGAAATGACACCACAAAGACATAAGTAACAAGATATACAAGGTTTATTGGAAAGGAGTAAAGAGAGATGAAGACAATTTAGAAAAAAAAAATCAGGAGGAAAAAAAACATTGCAGAAAGTAACAATGAAAATGATTTGAATGCATCTCAGTTATTCAATCATCAATGAATTCAGGAAGGCAAAAACTGTACTTTAATAATTTTAAATTAACTCTGCTAAATAATTATAGACTATGAAGTTTAAAAGTATTTTTTCAGAAATATACTCTGCTGAACAAGATTTTTTACCAGCAAGAACAACAAATACCCAATATACTCATGTATAAGCTGAGTTCATGTATAATGCAACCACTGAATATTTTTGCATGAATTTTAACCCCCTCCAGAAAAAAAATTTAGCTGTGCATAGTGCAACAAGTCACCAAAAATGCATGATTTTTAACCTCTTCAAAACAATTACCTGTGTATAGTGCAAACTCCATTTTATTTTTTGCATTAAAAATAAAAAAAAAAAAAAAAAAAAAAAAAAAAAAAAAGAGAAAAAAAACTTAGCATAAAAACTTGCACTGTACTGTAGCATTGCTAGTGGCAACAGCTCTATCTTATATTCAAGAATTTAATTTCTTCTTTGCTGATTGCTTCCTTTATGATGATGGTGTTAATGACTATGTTCATCACCAACATACAAGTTCAGGACTAGAAGCTTCCAGTTTCACCAAAATTTGCTTCCATCGTAATTTACTATTGCTGTTTGGGTTTGCAAGAGTTGGTTGGAGGTGAAAGAGAATCAGACTAGAAGAAAGTATTGATGGCGTGAATTTGTTTAAGGTGGACCTCAACTTGCCAGAAAGTGACCTATGTATTTGATTTCATGATCTTCCTCTGCAGCACATATGGAATGAGACATGCAGAATTCACTTATAAAACTGCAATGGACTGCCACCTTCTGTAGCATGTCCATGTATAGTCCTCTTTATCTGCTGGTTCAACAGATGAAATGGGCTACGCATGATGGACATGGTATATATACTTGAGTATATACAGTATATAAAGTAAAACAGATGAAAACAAAAAGGCTACATTTTTTTAAATTAAAATAAATGATAAAAATAGGTAAATGGGATAAAAATAAAAAGTTGAAAATTTCATTTAACAATTCATTATAAAATACATTTTCTTTGATTTCTAAAAAAGAAAATGATAAAATTGTTTTTTTAATTCCTTCTGAATAGAAAAAAGCAAGTTAGTCTAAAGTAAAATAGAAATTAGTGCCAAAATTTTTTGCTTAATAGAATTTTCATCCCAGATTTAAAGATCTGGAACAGTTCCAATTTCTTGTGTAAGGGAACTTGCTTTGATATAAAATCTCCAAGTATTCACATATTTCTGAAAAGAAAATTTATTCAACAGATTAAATTTGTTGTGCAACAATTTCTACTAAATGTCAGGTGAATGAATGAGTAGGACATGAACACAAAGAAAATTATAACTTTGAAATTCCTGAAACACAAAGGCAGAAAGGATTTGTTTGAGCTCAAGTTTCAAGTAGAGATTACTAATCATAATAGTTATCGATAAATTGAAGGCATAAAAATGCAATAGAATATTTATGATTGCATGAATTATTCATGTGTATACTCCAAATTTTGAAAATTGTCTTCCTCTTATTATCTGTAATCTGTTCATATAAACAAAAGACCAAACACTTAAACTTGGGTGGGGGGGGTATAACAAAAAAAAAAAAAAAAAAAAAAAAAAAAAAAAGGAAAAAAAAAGTAACTTAAATAAAAAGACAGTGATATAGGTTAATATTTTTAAGGATATTTATGTCAAACATTGACTTAAATAAAAAAACGGTATTCTTTGTCAGTTTATCACAGCCCACTTTATTCATTGAATGTAATAGTTCAAAAAGATTTCAAATCAATGGTTAACTGGGGCAAGAGATGGCTTGTAAATTTTAACACCTCCAAAACAAAATTGCTTCATTTAATCACTACACAGAACATTTTTAGCCTGCCATCAGCGTAAACTCCAAGAGAGCAACACACTACACTTTATATTTTCCAGATATAAAGCGGAGCGACTATATCACATCAATTGCTACATCTACTACAAGGAAATTTAGGTCATACTGAAAATTTTTCTCGCCAGAATTCATCTTGCACATTTATAAATCTACCATTCATTCAAGCATTGAATACTGTTTCTCTGGTGCTCCTGCTGCACATCTAGAGATTCTTGACAAAATCCAAAGAAGGGTCTGTAATGTAATCTACTTCAGTTACTTTCTCACCGACATGATGTGGCTTCCCTCCGTCTTTTCTACAAATATTTTCATGGCAACTGCTCTGATGAACTTTTTGTCCCTGGTGGCGACTGCGTGAATTTAAGCATGCTATTAGATTGGCAACTAGGTCTCACCATTTCACTGTTAAATTAGCTAGATACAACTGGCATTTTGTTATGGAAAAACACACCTATTCTATAGTTAATAGACTCTCCCACCTATCAGCGACCACAACAAGATTACTCTGCTTAATACCTATTATATCAAGTTCCTAATATTTTGTACGTCGAACTATTTAGGACCGATTTAGTACAAATACAAGCCTCCACTGCGAAATAACTCCACAACACATTTTTACTCTAACAGTTTCTTTTCTCACACTTCTCACCTATGGAACTCCCTTCTGATTTCTTGCTTCCCTGATAACTACAATCTTCAAAAATTTAAATACAATGTCAATTGTCATCTTCCATCTTCTTGAACCCCGTTCCTTTTTTGTCCTTTCCTCAATTCTTCCTATTCTCAGTCTTCTCATTCCTTTACTCCCTGTAACCCCTCTGCATTCTAGTGGCATTATCATCTTGCTTAAGGTGAAATGACTAAAAAAAAAAAAAAAAAAAAAAAAAAAAAAAAAAAATCAAAACATTGTGTTCAAGTGCAAAGACCAGATTTAATTTTATTTATTCATATTTTGCAAATTGACAAGCAAGAAAAGTTGTGTAAATGCATCTATGTATCAAATGAAGCATTGATGGTTGAATATCTTGTTATTAACACCTGTTTATACAGCAACAATGAACAGTCATTTATTCAGGCATCACTAAACATCAAACTACTTTCTCTTTAAATTATTAAGTAGACAAAGGAGACTACAATGAAAAATTTATATGAAGAGTTTGGAGGTGATACAAAGAAAACGACTTCAAAAATTTTCACTATACACACAAGTAGTTCATGTAATCATAAATATTCTATTGCATTTTTATGCTTCTGATGATTTAAAGATAACTATTATTACGATTAGTAATCTCTCATTAGAACTTGTTTGAGTTCAAACAAATCCTTTCTACTCTTGTGTTCAGAGGATAATTCTCTTCACACTTATGCCCCATTCATTCATTTAGCTGACATTTATTTACTAGGAATTATATTTTTCCATTATATATTTTCTTTTTTTATATTTACTTAGACCATCTTTATATGGCACACAGATTTTTTTTTCATCAAGTAATGGTGATGACAAAGCAAGGAATTAAATTATAATTATATACCACTACCCATCCCAAGGGATGAGGATAGTTCCTTTCAAGCAGTAGTATGTGTGTGAAAGGATTTAGGTGAGTTAGTGGCTGCAAGTGGATGTGAACCTGTATAACCAAGGTTCATACCCACCCTCTTGACATTTTCTCCAGGATCCATCCGCAAAGTGCATTATGATCATTCTACTTTCAAAAGACTACCAATAGACTCTTCAGTAGATTTTTTTTTTAAGTGAAAATATACATTTCTATAATTTTCATTAGCATACTGCAATAAGAGTGCCAATTCTTTTAATTATTTCAATTTTATCAAGATTACCATAAATTGATATTTTCTTAATGTCACCAAATTTGTGTATGTAAATACCTTTTGGAAGTATTGTAGCATTAAAATTACAATTAAAGTAGATGAGAAAATCATGAAGAATAGTTACATCAAGCAGAGAATGATGAGAGAAAGAAACAATTGAAAATCTTAATTAGAACCCTTAAGTAAATGGTGGGAATAGAACAAACAAAAATTGAACACAGGTTTAACTTATACTGGATTTACTTTATTCTGCTAAAATTCACTCAATCTCATTCAAGTCCACCTTGCCTGCTGTTGACATCATTATTTAAGGAACACACATGGGATGATAAGGGAGTCAGATGGCTGACTGTCATAGAGATAAATCTATAAATTTATGGAACTCTTCCGGCTTCTTACTTTCCAGACAACTTTGATAGACATTGCATTTAAATTTCTGAAAATCATTATCTTCTGTCTTCTTAATACCCGTTCTTTTATTGTCCTCTCTTCTTAATGTTTTCTTTTTCTCATATTCTTTCCTACTCAGTAACCACTTATGTTTTAGTGGCTTTATTGCCTTGCTTAGGTTGAAATGATTGAGAAAGAAAAAGACTAAATGACCAAGCATCAGAATGTTTTTTAATCCCTTCTAAAGCCAACAACTTTTTAGTACCCCTCCCTTGGGTTATAGCTTTCTTTGAAATGAAAATGGTGTATACAATGATAGAGGATGCATATGGGAATATGTTTTATAAGTTCTGTGAAATATAGAAGGAAAGTGTACAACATTTTTCAAGCTTCAACAAAGAAAGTTCATTAATAAAAATCAACAATATTTCTTCAACAGAATTAGAGCAAGTTAGGTGTCATAAAGTATAAACATACCCAACTGGTACAATAAACACAATTCTGAGGCTGCTTTGCAAACAAGGATTTTAACCTTAAGTCACTCAATATAAACTAATAAATTAAGATTCAAACAAAGATTAGAGTTCCAATCATAAAAGTGTCAATATATAATATCTACATAAAAGGCTATAAGAAGGTGAGGAAGGGGAA